TAGTCTCGTTACTAGGCTCTGATACCAATTAAAGGTGAAAAATGCGTAAAAAGTGGAAAACAATTAAAATATAGAGATAAGGGTAAAATAGACAATTTACTTATAAAATGACAAAAAACTGTAAAAGTTAATGTGAAGGAAATTGTAAGAGAAGCATCATTCCAAAAGTTTCAACCCTTGACCGCACCGGGCTCCTTGCATTTCCCCAATTGGTAAAACCAATCGTCATTATCGCAATTCCATTTCGTTTCGCATTTCGTTTCCTCGTTGACCGAAGGAAACCCTTTTTAGCCGCTGCTCCGTTCTAGGGTTTGGTTTCTCTTCTTTTTTAATTTTGGGTCTCGTTTATTTCAATTTTTACTCTAACTTGCAAGTTAGTAATTATCTTCTTTGTTCTGGGATCGAAAAAGAGAGAAAATTTGTGGAATTTGAAGGTTTTCCAAGGTTTATGGGAAGACAAAACAGTTGTGTACTGGTATTTTGGTGGAAGGATCAACAATTTTTGAAAATTTGTTTTTGCTCAGCGGTCTAGATTCAGTATAGTCTTGTATTTTTTGATTGTTTGCTTCTGCTTTGAAATGATTTGAAAGAGTGGTGACCGAGTTCATTTGAAGATCTAGGACTGCTTTAAATCTAGTGGGATATATTATTCAGGAAGAATCGAGCTTTTGCATTATTGAAGTGGAGTTGTTGACTTGAAAAGGGGAAATGGATAATTCAAATCCGCCTGGGCAGATGAATAGACAGATTGATCATTTGGGTGTGAACAGGATGGGAAAAAACATTAAGAAGAGTCCTCTACACCAGCCCAGCTTTTCTGGCGCTGCTAGGCAACAGCCTCAACCCCAGGTCTACAATATTAACAAGAATGATTTCCGTAATATAGTTCAGCAGCTCACGGGTTCGCCTTCTCAGGAATCGCCTCCTAGACCCCCTCAAAATCCTTCCAAACCTGCTAGTAACCGTTTACAGAGAATTCGGCCTCCACCTTTGGCACCAATGAATCGACCTCGGATTCCAATTCATCCTCCTATGCCGATGCCTGCACCAGCACACCCTGCAGGGCAGCTTCCTAGCAACTTTGCGAGACCTCCTCATCCTCCTCTGGCCCAATATGGTCAACCTTCACCACCTGTATTCATACCCCCGACTCCTGATGGTTGTGCAAATCCGGCTGAGTCTCCAATATCAGCTTATATGCGCTACCTGCAAAATTCAATCGTCAATCCAGGTCTCCGACAAGCCCAGCTTCAATATCAACCTCACTTGCAACCTCATGTTCCTGGTCAAACTCTAGCTCAGCCACCGGGTTCTGGTTTGCTTCCTAATCCTATCATGCAACCGTTCCCATCTCCCAGAATGAATGGAACTCCCTCTCCTCTTCCATCCCCTCGAATGAATGGTCCATCAATGCCTCTTCCGTCACCTCGCATGAATGGTCCCTTTCCCCCTCTTCTTTCCCCTCGGATGAATGGCCCTCCTCCCCTTTTACCCTCTCCTACATCTCAGTTCCTTTTACCTTCACCTACTGGCTTCTTGAACTTGTTATCTCCTCGATCACCTTATCCATTACTTTCTCCAGGGTATCAGCATCCTCCTCCGCTGACTCCTAATTTTTCATTTTCTTCTGTGCCCCAATCTGGGATTTTAGGTCCTGTACCTCAGCTACCTCCTTCTCCTGGTTATGGATTTCCTTTGTCACCTTCAGGGTTTTTCCCTCTACTAAGTCCTAGATGGAGGGATGAATGGTCTTAAAAGCATAAGCTACTGACTTGCAAGGGATACAAACTATTCTTTGTTAGGACTCTTCATGTATAGTCGCATCTTCCGTATCATAGCTTCTCTTGTGGATTTGTAATGTACACCCGGAAGCAATGGTTCCTCGTGGAAGTATGTAGTCTTTGTTTTTGCTGCTGTTTGTTTGCTTACACAGGTGCCTTTTGAGATGCGGATTCAGTAACTGCTGCTATCTGTTTATCTGCTCAAAACAATTTCCTCTAGGTGATATTCTGAAGATTGGAGGACTTGTGCATACACTTGGACCCCTGCAGCATGTAAGCAGGCAGTATTATAGACTTTGCAGATTCATGTAGGCCTTCTGATGATAAAGTATTTTTGCATTTCTGTAATATTGTTCATCTTACAGTTAGTCTTGATTAAGATTCTTCTTGACTTTACTAGAGCATAAATTTTGAAGTTCTCACTGTGCTATTAAATGATTTTGCTCCTGGACATGGATTTACATATTTAATCATCTTCACAATTTTTTCCTGGTAAGCTTTGAATTTTCGGAGCTTAATGATATTCGTCTTTCTGGTGATTCTCGTGGTGCCATGGTGGTAACATGGTATGAAAAAACCCTGCTGAGGCCCGCCTCATTGTGAGGCGCAGCTTCTGTACCTCGAGGCTCAATCTGTGAGGCAAAAAAAATGAGGCGCACGCCTCTACATGTGAGGCAAAAAAAATGAGGCATGCGTATGTTTTTTTCAGGTTTTTGAAAAAGAATTTAAAAAGGCCCTCTTTCAAAAAGAGAAGAGCCCATTTAAAAAGATATTTTGGGCCAAACAAAATATTAAAATATCCAAAATACCAAAAGGTAGCCAGAAATCCTTCTACACGGCAGACAGAAATCTTCTTAGATGGCCAGAACTACACGACAGCCAGAAATCTTCCCAGAACTAAACGGCAGCCAGAAAACTTATCTTCAATCCTTCGCTTAAAAGAGGTCCTCAAGTGCTGCTTCTATGTCTCTTTTCTCCTTTGCTTCTGTCTTCGTCTAGTGACTTACAATTTAAAATTGTTTCACTAGATTTTGTTTGACTTTTTTCTTGTTCAGTGCATCGACGTCAGATTGCACCTGTTCTGTTCGGCAGATTGCACCTGTTTTGTTTGTGGTGAGGCTTACGCCTCAAAACGTTTTGAGGCTTACGCCTCGCCTCATGACAAAAAAACGCCTCATTACCCATTTACATTTTTTCAAACTATGGGTGGTAACAACTGCTATTGCATTCAAAACTAAATTAGTTTTTTTTTTTCTCTTGGTTGGATATGTGGAAGAGATAGATGGCAAAAATAGTTTACTTTTAGCAGTTTACTTGTGGATACGTATATTTATATTTCTATTTAATATATAAAATTATACTACCACTTCGGCAGTGAAATTGCTGTTTGCTTTATGTGTATTATGTACGAGGTTGGTAAAAAACATTTGACAATTCTTGTCGTCTTTGATAGCAACCTCTGAAGGCAGCTGTCCTTTTTTATTTAGTTTTATTTTTGTCTTCAATGGATGTCCTCACCTTTGTCATGCGAGATTATAATCTTATGGTATGATAGATATGCCTCATTGTTAAGCATTATCACACATGGGGTTTCGTTTTATTTCTATTTTCATTTTTTGCTTCCCNTCTTGGTTGGATATGTGGAAGAGATAGATGGCAAAAATAGTTTACTTTTAGCAGTTTACTTGTGGATACGTATATTTATATTTCTATTTAATATATAAAATTATACTACCACTTCGGCAGTGAAATTGTTGTTTGCCTTGCATGTATTAGGTACAAGGTTGGTAAAAAACATTTGACAATTCTTGTCGTCTTTGATAGCAACCTCTGAAGGCAGATTTCCTTCTTTATTTAGTTTTATTTTTCTCTTCAATGGATGTCCTCACCTTTTTCATGCAAGAGTATAACCTTATGGTACGATAGATATGCCTCATTGTCAAGCATTATCACACATGGGGTTTTGTTTTATTTTTATTTTCATTTTCATTTTTTGCTTCCCGTAAGTATTTTGTTGATATATATTCTTTGTACGCATTCCTCTACACGAACTGATGATGGGTTTAGCTGTTGATTTCGTTGATCTCTCGTTCATCATGACTTCGTTTGCATAATATGTTTTATAGAATCTTGCTGTGATATTCTCCTTTTTTATCTTAACCTGACTTTCCCTCCAAACAAAAGAGGAAAATCTTGACTGTTTAACATGCTCTCTCTCTCTCTGGGCGGCTATGCTCATGCATTACAGTTATTCCATGTTATAGTTGGTCATTTGATTTGATTGTTTTAATGATTTTATTGTTTGTTAATCTAGAGTTCTGGGCTTGTGGTATATTATTAGGGAGTTTGCGAATCTGGATAAACTCGTCCATGGTCAAAAAGTTATATTATGTAGGTAAAAATCTTTTATAACTAAGGTAAGTTCTATTTTTGCTCGATACCTTAGCACTTCACGTTTATCCTGTTACTTCAATTTTTTCAACCATTGAGGACTAGTAGGTGAAAAGTTCAATATGAACACAAAAGGTTGCTTGCAGTTGCGGAGCACCTTTGTCGGTGCCTAAAGCTTTGGAAGGGTATTCTGGACAGTTCTAAGCAAATCAAAAGTTACCATCAATGAGGTCTTCACGCACACCATCTTTATCCGTGTCTTCATCCACAAACAATGTATAAGAGCATCATAACCACTTTACCTAATTTTTCTATTGGTTTTTCTAGTTACATTGAGTAAATACTCATTTATGTTTACTAGTATATATAATAGTTAGTGTACTGGTACACTGTTTGATTATGCAGCAATTGGCCTGGAATTTCCCCTCCAAAGCTGCATGCAACATCATAACATGTAGAAACAAAAGCTATGACACCAATTGTCGTTAAGAGGCAACAAGTGGGTCTAGAAAACACCAAGCCATGCATTATGTTCTTCTACTACTACCCATTTTATGGCAGTATTTCTTGAATTGCCTTTTGTTTTGATAAGCCCAATATTACTCTTCATTTTCTAATTGTAGCTCTTTGTAATAGTTTTATTTTGTTAGTGAATCTAGAGTAAAGTTCAAACGCAGTACATTTGTATGTGGGATTCAGGTAAAAGGATTGTGTTTGACTAATTCTAATAATTAAGAAGTTATAGTCCTGTAATCATCATCATCATTATTATTGTCTTTGAGGATTATCTCTGTCCAACGACATTGTAAGCCTTTCTCCCAATAAACTTGTAATAACCTACATCAATTGCTTGCGTCACTTGCAACTATTTTGTATCTAGTGAAAAAAAAAAAGAAAAAAAAAAGATGTTTCGATCCACTTTAGACTTAGAGGGGGTGAATAGGTGGTCTATGAAGAATTTAATTTTAACATAAATAACATGCAACAAGTCACAAATTATAGAGTTGATACACGTGAGAAAATTTTATAGCACAACAATCAACAAAGGAAGTAAATAAATGTACTGATAAGTAAATAACACTAAGAATTGTTTACAAAGGAGAGACTTGAATATAAAAAAAACTTCAGGTACCTTGTGCCAATGTAACATGTCACAAATTATATAGTAGATACACATGAGAAAAATTTCTAGCACAATAATCAACAAAGTAAGTAAATAAATGTACTGAAAAGTAAATAACACTGAGAAATGTTTACAAAGGAAAAATTCTGTATTAAAAAAAATCTTCAAGCAGGTTGTGCCACCAAACGATCCACTATGAAAAGATTAAACTTACAGATTTGGTTCAAACACAACTAAATCTTAATAAACTCTAATCCCAATTCATAATTACCCGAAGAACTTCTCGATTGTGCACTGTAGAACCTTTGGACTTTTTCCTTGTGTCGATCTCCAAGATCGAACTTGTTCTTAATCGAAACTCCCGTCACCTCTCATATCAATCTGAACTCTAAAGCTATGTGGTAGAGGATTTTGTGATATATTGGTTTTGGATGTAAGAGAATTTTGATAACAATCGATTTTTTCATGTCTAAGATCTTTCCTCCTTTTCTCTGTTCTCGGAAAATAATGAAGTACGAGGGTTTTTGTATTGTATATAAATTGTATTTCATAGTTCTAGGTTGTTTAAGAGTATTTAGAGGTTGAAATAGGAAGCCCCTGCTTAGAGGTGCTCTCCCTTTATGTTCATCGAGCACTCTAGTTTTGGAAAATTTGTTCAAGCACCTTTGTCCGTTCATCGAGAACACATGTTCTAAAAATTTTGCTCGAGCATCTTTTAGACGATCATCGAGCATACATGCTCTGTGACAAGTTGAGTTGTTTCACTTCCATGATTTTTTTATACTTACTCAATCAACTATTAACACCCATCAACACAATCCCAATTATAATTTGATTTAATGATTTTGGACTTGGAACTTGTCAAGACTTAATTTGACCTATCCAACTCCTCCTTTGGCATTCCGTGACAAAATCATTTACAAATACTATAAAAGAATCAAATCCTATTCACCCACAAGGTAGAATTTGACCAACCAAACAACTCTCACAACCACACTCCATCTCAAATGCTTTTTCGTACATGCTTCCTGTTACACAAATCAAACAACACCGTTTGAAATGCAAGAGGAAACTACAAGTATGAAATAAACAAGTCATCTCATATTTAGCCCATCATTTTACCCTTTTTTGTCAGGAATAGTAATGCTTTGAAAAACGCATGATTCCTTAAGTAAGAGACGCTAACCGAAAAGAATGATCCAAAGGATACCTAAGAATCTTCCTTTTTTTACTTCTTTTTTTTTTAAAAAGTGCTACACTTTTCAAACGTGGACTGATACAACTTATGAAGTGAGCATCACAAGAACAATGAACAATTATATCATCCTACACAACTCTCTACATTGATGTGGAATACAGATGTATAATAGATCAATGAGTGTACTGTGGCACTAGTACTTTGTGAGCAAGATTTATAACCTTAATTTTATGAAGTGACGTGCAAAAAGAAATCACTCATG